CCTCATTTCATTGTGTTGTCTAGCTGAATTTTCTTGTATCTCATTTAGTTTCCTTAGAATTATCACTTGAAATTCCTTGTCAGACATTTCAAGGGCTTCTTGTTCAATACGATCTAGAGCTTGAGAGTTATTACTCTTCGGTGGTGTATTTTCTTGATTTTTCATATTTCTGGTATCTCTCCTTTGATGTTTAGTCATTGTGGCAAGGGATTTCACAGTCCACTGGTTTGACACTGTTGTCTGGCTAGGATTCTGCTGGGGCTGCCAATTTGGCACAGCTGCCTCAGTGTCTGCTCAGTCGCCTGCTGGCACCTCAGGCACGAGGTCACCTCGGGTCTTGGGCCCGTCTGAGGAGGCACCTCTCTGGTTAGCGCACACTCGGCCGGGCTGGGGATGGGGTCCATTGGTAGTGAGGCCTTCCTGCTAGGTTGTGTGCTGGCACCATGGCACGTGTGGTCTCCACAGGACTCGGACCTCTCCTGGGGGGGCACCTCTCTGGTCGGCGCACCCTCGGCCAGGCTGGGGATGGGGTCCAGCGGCGACGAGGCCTACCTGCTAGGTCGCACGCTGGTGCCACGGGGCGCGTGGTCTCCGTGGATCTTGGGCCACTCTGGCAGGCTGCCTCTCAGGTCCTAAATTAGAATTTTATTTAAACGAATAATTTTTCAGTGTAAATACATCCCACATATTACATGGAAAATCTGAAAATTCTGATTTAACTGAGTGTCCTGTCTTTCACCTGGCAACCCTAAACCAGCAGTAGTAGTTCATTTTAAGCTTTGCTTTACATTTGTCCTCTCACTTATATTCATTGTTATTATGTAGTTATATAACATCATAATTTTTCCATTTAAATAATATACCTTATTTCATAAAGTCTCAGTTGCCATTGATTGTAACACACCATTATTTTATTCACTAAGAGAGAATGCCAACAATTAAACTATGATAGAATGCCAAGATGTCATCAAGTGTAAGATGCAACAAAGAGACTGAAAAATATTCCAATGATGTGAATTAGATCAAGGAAAAACTCTGTTTAGTGCTTCTCATGTAGGCAGCTTCTACCTACTCATAAGGCTTGTCCCAGACAGAATTTAAAATTGATGCTGTGAATTTTTGAAATTAGCTGATTTGGTTAGTGGAGTTACCAAATGTCTGTTGTTATAGGTGGCCGAGCAGATCCATATGGATCTTGCACTGACTTTCCTGCAGATTTCAGCCTGAGGCTGAAAGTGAATTTTGAGCAGAGGTTAATCCATGGGTTGGTTATAATTCCTAGAGTAGTGCCAACTCTAAAGATGTAGAGCAGTTATCAGAATGCAGTTTTGAGGTTTCAGAGGCCTAGAGTAGATGAAATCCTAATTCTAGGTTCAGCGTCTTCTTAAACTCCTCCCTCTTGATATGGCAACTGATTGAAGTATGTAAGTGAAAGAGATCAAGAGGAAAGTTTACCTCTTGCTCATTAGATGACTTCAAGATACTTGTTTCTGTGATTTATTCATTTATTTTAAGATAAGTTATTACTCTGTCATATCATAGATTCCAGTTTTAATATTTTAATTGGTAAGAAAAGGGAAGAATTTAGATAGTTCTTTTTTACAAGGATCTGTTTGCAAAGATCAATAATAGAAAAAACGGGGCCGGCCCGGTGGCGCACTGCTACAGTGCGCCACTTGGGAGCGTGGTGGCGCTCCCGCTGAGGGTTCAGATCCCACATACAGACCGGTTCCTGCTCACTGGCTGAGCGAGGTGCGGGAGTAACACCGAGGGTTGCGATCCCGTTGCTGGTCCCGGTCCGGTACGGGCGCAACACTGAGGGTTGCGATCCGTTGCCGGACACGGAAAAAAAATAAAAATAAAAAAAAAAATAGAAAAAACACCAAAATCTTTGTTTTATGTCCACTTTTGCCATTAAATTGTGTGATCTTTGACAAGGAACATCTGAGCATATCAGTTTCCTCACCTATAAAAGCGCTGTGTCTCTCTCATGGGTTGAGGTGGCTGTCCTTGTGGTAAGCCTCTGTACCTCCCTGGATGCACCTGTGTCTGTGCTGAGCATATCCCCATTTTGCCTCTCTCCATGTTTCTGTTTTTCTTGTTCATCAGTGTTTACTCAGTTTCTTTTCATTTTGATAGCTACCGTTTTCATATACTTAAAAGCATGCTTATATTTTAAAAAGAAAGTATAATACTAGAAAATGTCACAATAAGAAAATTGCACATTCATCTTGATATAGATATGCACGGATTGGGTTTTCAAGGTCAACACATTACTACAGAGGCGACCACATAAGTAACCTCATCTATTAAAAATAATAACCTGTAAAGCCTTTTTTAGCAGTATACTTCTAATAATGAAAAGGTTTTTTCTGATTATATCATTAATACATGCAAGTCATTGTATTGTGCAATACATTAGAATAGAAGGAAAGTAAAGGTCATCAGAAATCCCGCTATCCTGAAACAGACACCATTAGTGTTTTGTTGACCATCCCTTTGTGTGTGTGTGTGTTATTTCACAAAAATGGGATCATAGCATACTAACTTTATTGTGGACAGTTCTTATCCCTTCCTCCACATTAATAACCTCTCCCTCATACCTGCCATCAGGTCACTCATATTAACAAGCGTGTGTTATTTCACAAAAATGGGATCATAGCATACTAACTTTATTGTGGACAGTTCTTATCCTTTCCTCCACATTAATAACCTCTCCCTCATACCTGCCATCAGGTCACTCATATTAACAAGTTAGTTTGTATCTCTCCATATTTTTTTCTCTATCAGACAGTCCTGTGTGATACACACACACACACACACACACACACACACACAATTAGAGGGTCTTTTTGTCTTTGATGTACAAAAATGGAATCATAATATACATACTTTTCTAGTAATGTGTGAGATAAAAATACTGTGTCATGATTTAAGAATGTCTGTGTATCATCTTGTAGACCACATTAGAGCATGCAAGGCCTGAAGAGCCCAGCTGGGATGAAGATTTTGCAGATGTGTACCATGACCTAATCCATTCTCCTGCCTCTGAAACTCTCCTAAATTTGGAACATAATTATTTTGTTAGTATCTCAGAACTGATTGGCGAAAGAGATGTGGAGCTGAAAAAATTACGAGAGAGGTATTTCAGATTTCTTGCATTATCATAATTAAATGTTACATTGTCAAATATGATGGCCTGCAGAACTTGTTTTTATTTTTTATAAAATTAAAGAATAAAGTAGAAAAGTAATTTTAACATTGGAAATTTATTTTCTTGTATGTTTAAATATGTAATTTCAACTGGAAGGGTCCTCGTAGGTTTATAAAACTTCTCAAGTGATTTACCTTAATAAATTATGCTGGCCTTATATATTCTCGTTTCTAATAAGAGGAATAGATTACCTCTGTTGAAGGTTTGCTTTGTTCCAGGCACTGTGCAAAGCGCTTTGGATGCCCTATCTCATTTGATCTTTACCACAGCCCTAACTATTATCAATCCCACTTTACAGATGAGGAAACTTTGACTTAAATAAGTTAAGTAACTTGTCCAAGGGCAAGCTGGAATTTGGAACCAGGAAGTCTGACTTCAAAGCTTCTAACTTCTATTATGCTGTCTCCCTATTCAGAATCTCCTTATTGCCCTGCTCAAACTAAGCCCATGGTCTCTTTCAATTCATTTTGTAAGCTTATTTACATTAGAGAAAAAAAATATCACTAGTATTGTTTCAAGAAATTTTAATAAGATTTGAATTTATTCTGTATGGATTACTTAATAGAGTATGCAACCAATGCTTTTATAATTCGGTTTTTTTTTTTTTGGTTTTTTGGTTTTTTGTTTTCCAGAGTAAGTAAAAAACTGCCAGTATTATTTATTTTAAAGTGTGGCTTTCCTCCTTGTAATTCTATAAATGGTGAAATGAATTCAGGACATACTCTTCCTTCTAGATAATCCATTTTATAAAATTTTTTTTGTTGAATTCCTATTTGTCTTTTTTTTCCTCACAAGTAATTTGCTTTTTTTTAGCAAACCAGATTTTAGGTGTTTCTTTAAACTTTAAAAATGGCAATGATACTTTTTATCCACTAGAGGGAACATGTGTAACGTAAAATATTACTATATATTTATATCTGTTTGTATTTTTAAATGTTTTGCAGTTATTTCTGTTCTAAATAAAAATCTCACTTGCAAGATCTTCACCTGACTTGTAGTAATTTTAAAAAGTTAATGGGGTCACCTACATTAGAGCTAAGTGGGGATTAAATGATATTGAATATTTAATAGCAGAAGGTGTATGTAAAAATGTGTATGTATAAGTTGTATGAATGAGTTTCATTTATCTCATATATAAATATCTTAATCAGTTATAAATAAGAATAAGTTCACTTTTAAGAGCAATTTACTTAAATTAACAAGAACCATACTAAAATCCTTGTAGTTTTTGTCTGTTTCATTCTTTCCCAGTTTGAAATATGTTTTAGAGCAAACTTTAAGAGCAATTTACTTAAATTAACAAGAACCATACTAAAATCCTTGTAGTTTTTGTCTGTGTTTCATTCTTTCCCAGTTTGAAATATGTTTTAGAGCAAACTGTTTGCAAACTATCTTGCATATTACAGGATAATTTTTAATCTGAAAATTTTTATATGAACTTATTTATTGAAATATAACATATATACAGAAAAGGCAAAAAACCGTGGGTGGCTCAATAAATTTCCACAAAATAAGCATATCCATGTAGTCATCACCCAGATCAAGAAATAGCATAACTTCAGCACTTCAGAGCCTCCTTTATGTCCTTCTAGTCACTACCTTTTTCGCCCCCATAAATAACTATTATCTGTACTTCTAACACTATTGATTAGATTTTTTCTGTAGGAAAAACTGTTTTTAATTTTTGCTCATTATTTCTTTGGATAAATGAAGAAAGTAAAACTATAACATGTCTTCAGACTATATTTTACATTCCTCTATAAAGGTAATTTTGTGACTTAATCACATTTTGACTCTTGACTAATTGGCAGCTTCTGGATGTACTTTAACTTTTAGAAATTGAAGTCACATCAGTTTATATACAAATAAATAGAAAATCTGTTTAATCTGAAATTGCAGAGCGTCTTCTTTGAAGAAATTTGCATATGAAAAGTGGTCTGGAATTCTAAACATTACCCATGGTGATTGAAAGGTGACTTAGATTTTGACTGCTTTCATTTGTGCATTAAATTTAGATTGAAATTTAGCTGCACAAATGATATTGTTGCTATTTTTGACAATATCATCATTATTTTCACATCTTCCTTTCCAAGGATTCAAAGTGCTTTCTGGATATTATTATAGCTGCTATTCCTGGACATATTTCTATAAAATAAAAATTTTGTTTTCACGTTACAGAGATCATTCAGTGAATCTGAAGTGGTCATATACCTTGAAAGTTTGATGAATATATCTGATTTGCTTATTTATGTTTTAGACAAGGTATTGAAATGGAAAAAGTGATGCAGGAATTGGGAAAGTCACTGACAGATCAAGATGTAAATTCACTGGCTGCTCAGCATTTTGAATCCCAGCAAGTAAGTGAAATACAATGACTTAGATACACAGTTGCATTTTCCTTTACTTATATTATTTCTGTAAAAAAGTTAACCAGTTGGTGCACTGTCTCTTTTAGGACTTAGAGAATAAATGGTCAAATGAGTTAAAACAATCAACTGCCATCCAAAAGCAAGAGTATCAAGAATGGGTGATAAAACTTCATCAAGACCTAAAAAACCCGAACAACAGTTCCCTCAGGTATGAACCATGTATTGTTCTTATTCATATAAATGTCCATTGTTGGTAATGGTTTTTTTTTTTTTCATTTGCTGTAAAATAATTGACCTTTTTAGTTGTATATATGTTTAAGTTGCCAGTGAAAATTCAAGATAAGTTTATGCTTCTTTTAACACCTTTTGTGTTATAGGCTTTATGTGGAATTATTGGGGGAGAAGTGATTGGTTGGTTCAAAATAGTGATTTCCCCCCTAGAACTTTAGCTTTTTTGTAAATATTCTAGGCACTTGCACCTAAATACCAAGTACTATCTCTTCTTTCTGTAAATTGGTTTCCACTCAGTGCAATAAACATTGGTTGAATACCAAACAGTCTTTAAGCAGAAAAAGAAAAAATACCTTGCTCATGTGGAGCTTATATTCTTGAGAGACTAACCTGTAAATAAAATGATACATATAGAATGATATGTGAATAGAAGCATGTACAAGGTATAGAAATAGTATGGGGATCTTTTCATAATTCATAACTTATGGTACCTATGGTCTAAATACATTATGTTTTGCATATTACCATAGAGCTGACCATGCCTTTGTTATTTCCTAACTGTATACACATATGTTTGAGAATTTCTTTCTTCTTCTAAATCCTAAAGTATATTCAACTGGAAATATACTGAGTACAGTATAATAATCTTATTTCCAGAATATGCTAGGATATGCTGTAAACATTTTAAAATAGCATTTTACTTGTGTAATGTCAGTCTCTCCCACTAGTCTTGCCTTGAAGGCAAGAATCATGTCTGTTGTTGTTTTGTTTTGTTTTTTGCTGTTTTATGCCTAGCTCTTTGCCAAGTGTGAGGTCTTGACACCGACACATAAGACATGATCAGTAAATGTTTATGGGATGGATGGATGGATGGACAGATGGATTGATGATCATTAAACTCTTTACCTGATATCTATATTGCCTCTTATCTAAATATTATGATCTTTCATTTGCCTTATTGTTTTTGCCAAACTGTTGGTTACAGTCTGCTAGAGACCATTATAAAGTTTTTACTTTCCACCAACCTTTAAAATGACAGTGAGGGTTGACCCCGTGGCGCACTCGGGAGAGTGCAGCGCTGGGAGTGCAGGGGCACTCCCGCCGCGGGTTCGGATCCTATATAGGGATGACCGGTGCGCTCACTGGCTGAGCGCTGTGTGGATGACACCAAGCCAAGGTTTGCAATCCCCTTACCAGTCACAAAAAAAAGACAAAAAAAATTTAAAATTAAAATGAAAAATAAAATGACAGTGAAGTAAAATGGAATGGAATGGAATAGAATAGGGAAAAATATCAGAATGCATCAAGCATGAAGATTTCTATAAATGAATGTGTGTATAGAGCCAAAACATAAAATATACACTGTATATTATAGTGAAAAAATTGAAAGTCACTGATCTAAGGAAGCAAAGAAAGCCCCTTGCTTCAAAAGTTATCCCTCACTTTGCTGCTATAGTTTCAGTAATCAATCTGTACAATCAATGCCATTATATAAACATTAGCTTCTAACTGCTGTGTCTTTGAAAGGAAAATATTACTAGGAAAGAATATTTTTACCATTACTTTGTTAGTTTGCTTTCCTTTTTGATAGGTGTTTCCTTGGATAGTGGAAACCTGTTTTCAACATAACTATTTGTAAAACCCTTATACAAGATTGATAAAGGTTGTATTTTATTTTTATTTACTTATTGTTGCCTTTTTTTATGTCAGCTTTATTAGGGATAAATTGCATAAAGTAAAATTCATCTGTTTTAGATGTACAGATTGATGAATTTTGACAAAATTAGTCATAAAGTCACCTCAATTAAGATACAGTATTTCCGTTTTACACTTTCATAACAATCCCCTTTCTCCTTACCCAGCCCCTGTGAGTGTGTCTGATTTCTGTCCCTGTAGTTTTTATTTTCCCAGAATGTCATATAAATGGACTCAAACTGTGTGTAGCAGTTTGTGTCATGCTTCTTTCACTTGGCATAATTTTTTTGAGACTCACTCATGTTGTTCCATGGAAGAGTGGTTCTTTATTATTACTCAGTAGTATGCTGTTACCTGTTTGTTTATCCATTTACTTGGTGATGGACATTTGGGGTATTTTCACATTTTGACAATTATAAATAAAGCTGCAATAAACATACATGTACAGGTGTTTGTATAGACATATATTTTTATTTCTCTTGCATAAATACCTGTAGGAGTGCAATTGCTGGGTCATGTGGTAAGTATATGTTTAACTTCATAAGAAACTGCCAGACTGTTTTCCAAAGTGGCAATAAAATTTTGCACTCACACCACAATGTATGAGGTTTGCACATGCTACACATCTTCATCAACACTTGGTATTGCTATTAGTCATTCTAGCATATTTCATAGTGGCATTTTATTATAATTTTACTTTGCATTTCCCTGATGGCTAATAATGTTGAACATTTTTATGTGCTGATTTTCTGTCCATATCTCTCTTCTGTGTTTTCTTAGTATTCAGTTCTTTATATAGTCTGGATACAAAAGTCTGTCATCAAATACGTGTTTTACAAATACGAGGGTAACTCAAAATGTTCATGGAAAAATGGAATTAAAAGATAATAGGAATCTTTCCATGAACTCTTTTGAAGACCCCTTGTATTTTCTCCCACTCTGACTTGTCCTTTCATTTTCTTAATAGTACCTTTCAAAGAGCGAAGTTTTTCATTTTAATTAAGTGCAATGTATCAGTTTTCTATTAAAAACCTAATTTTCTCAGAGTAGTTTTAGCTTCACAGCAAAATTGAGATTTACCACTAACCCACACATTATCAACATCCCCAGCAGAGTGGTGCATTCATCTCAACTGAGAAAATCATAATCATCCCAAGGTCATAGTTTACATTAGGGTTTACTCTTGCTGTTGTATATTCTATGGGTTTGGACAAATGTATAGTGCATTTATCCATTATCGTAGTATCATGCAGAGTACTTTCACTTCCCTAAGAACTCTCTGTGCTCTGCCAATTTATCAATTTTTAAATGGTTTGTGTCTTATCTAAGATATCTTTGTCTAATCCAAGATCACAAAGGTTTTCTCGTATGTTTTCTTCTAGAAGTTTGATAGTTTTAAGTTTATTTTATAAATATATATGACAAATATCCACCAACATATATATGTATGTATTATGTTGGTCTATGATATTTTTTCTTACAATATCTTCATTTGTTTACATTCATCAGGGTAATGGTGGCATTTAAAATGAGTTGATCTGTCATCGTCAATCTGATGTCATGTTTTTACTTCTAGTACAGACTGAGTATTCATTACCTGAAGTGCTCAGAACCAGAAATATTTTGGAATTTGGATTTTTTTGGATTTTGGAATAATTGTAGAATATGTACATACCTGTTAGTCAACTCTAATCTGAAAATCTGAAATTTGAAATGCTTCACTGAGCATTTCCTTTGAGTGTCATGTCAGCACTCAAAATGTTTCAGATTTTGGAGGATTTTGGATTTTCAGATGAGGGATGTTCAACCTGTATTTCCATTTGTTTTCTCGCTCTGCTGAAATTCCATCTGTTTTCATGTGTTGTGTACTTTTTCCACTAGATCTTTTAACATATTAATCATAGTTATTTGACAGTCCCTTTCTTTTAGTTTCGATATCTGGATCATCTCTAAGTCTGTTTCTGTTGATTGCTTTATCTCTTGACAGTATTGTTTTTTGTTTTTTTTTTTTTTTCCTGAATGCTGGATATTGTACGTATTAGAAAAGAGAAGTTGAGGTAAATAGTATTTATGTCCCAAAATGAACAGGCCATTGGGCAAATCTTAGCAGTTGAGCTGAGTTGGGTTTTTGTTGTGTCTTCATTTTCTACAGTAGTAGGCTGCTGCTACTTTGTGCTTAGAGAAGGACTTGGGGTTCTAGAGGGCTTTTCTCTGTCATTCTGCTCCATCATCAGCTTTCAGCAGTCTTTGTGTGCCTGTGCTGCAGAGATGAATCTCCCTTTTGCTCTACCTCCAGCAATAGACTATTCTTAATTATTACTTGGTGCTAGCCTCACAATTGAGGATTAGGACAGGTCACTTCATCCAATGTTGTCCAGCTCTGTTGTCTTTGTCCAGCTCCAGTCTTAGATAATCTGTGTGCATCTGGGCCTTGGATATGGGGCATTTTCAGTATTTCTGCCTGTGCCCACAAGAGGGCTCTCTAGTCTCCTGTCCTCAGTCTTTTCTTGGAGGCACCTAGTGGGGCGAATGGAAAAGAGTTTGCAAATGCATGTGCCTGTGACTCCTAACTATTCTAAACTGGCATGCTAGGCCATGCTTGGCCTTTAAGAATCTGTTAAAATTTTAGCTGATTTCTTTTTACCCCCTTGTATGGCAGCAACCTATTTCTATCATGCTCTGAAAGAGGAAACTATACGTCCTGTCTCTACTTTGAGGGGCATGTCACACTTTGAACTTCATTTTATTTGGTTGCCTTGTTACCTCAAACCTCTGATGGGTTCCAGAAAAGTTATGATTTTGTAGCTTATCTGGCTTTTAAGTTGAATTTACTCTATTTACTGTTGAAGTCAGTTAGTGAGACTAATGAGGCTGTTTAGATTAACCCCAAAAATTTAGTCAGGGGAATGGATGACTGTTACTAACTTTTATCATCTTCAGCATACCATGAAATATGAATTGAACAGTTGTACAGTTATAGCTCCTCTGTGGAAACATTTTCAGGAAATATAAAGAGCATAGCGGAGCAAAGAGAGAGGTTGTTTATTGGGAGGAGAATGTTGGAAGTAAAAAACAACAACAGGAAATGGTAAAAAAAAAAAAAAAAATAGAGTGTGTGTGTATACATGAAAATGAGCTTCATCTTTTTTTATTATTATTTATTTTATTTCACTTTTTAATTTTTAATTTTCATTGCTATCACTTCACCTGTTTTCTGATTTTTCGTAGGACTAGCCCTGGTATAGTATGTATTATATATTTTAAAATATAATGTGATTTTAAAATAATAAGTTAATCACTTCATTTAATCTTCTCTTAGGCAACTAAAGAAATATTAAATGGTAATATATTAATTGATATAATGATTGAAAGGAGTAATTGGCATTACTTACTGTGAGAAAATGAAAGAAAATGTGGGAATTTTAGAACCTGTTGGTGCTTATGGTCTTAACTTGTCACCATTGATTAAGGATAAGTTTAGGAATAAATTAAACAAGGATTACTTTCAGCTGTTCAGTTTTCTCTCATTTCAACATAAAGCTTACTTTCCTTTAAGTTTTTGACAAGCATACAAAGAAAATATATCAATAATTTTATTAATTTCAGTGAGGAAATTAAAGTTCAGCCAAGTCAGTTCAGAGAATCTGTAGAAGCAACTGGAAGGATTTATGAGGAACACAGAAAGTTAGAAGAAAGTTTTACCATTCACTTAGGTAAGTATATTAATTTTTTGTAATTATAAATTATTGTAACAGTTGAAACTTTTCTTATGCTACATGAGAAAAATCCTTAGCATATGAGTACCCATGTTATTTCTAATTCCAGATTGTGTTCTGCTCCAAAAAAAGCCTATAGTTTGTTGGCTATAAGTTTTCTATTTTAGAAAGATTAAATTGTAATAGTTATTAAAATTGAAAGTTGCAAGGCTCATCTTTAATTATTATTTGTAGCACAGATTTATCTGGATTCTTGCCAAAGAGATTTGTATCCTGTTATACCAGACTTTTGCAGCTATTTAAGTGCATTTCTGGGACTGTTACCTACCCCCAGGAGCCCAGTTGAAGACCATGCATAATTTGAGATTGTTGAGAGCAGATATGCTGGACTTCTGTAAACATAAAAGAAATCATCGAAGTGGTGTGAAACTCCATCGGCTCCAGACAGCTCTATCACTTTATTCCACATCTCTCTGTGGCCTGGTTTTACTGGTAGATAATCGAATTAATTCATATAGTGGTATTAAAAGAGGTGAGTTAACATAATACCTTATTATTTCATTAAATTCTCCTTGTAATACTATTCTCACAAAGAAAAGAATTATGGAAAAACTGAAAAATAATTTTAATCACCCTAATATTTTTGTAGACCAAACAACAAACATACCCAGGTATAGCTGTTTTAGATTTGTTTCATAGTTTAGCATTGGTAGAAGGCTTTATGATATTTAATTTTTCTTGAAATTCTATAATATGTTAAATAATGCACTTATAGGATCCTTATTTAAAGGTAAAACAAAAATTAATAAAGATATAAATGTATTTTTCAATTTAGAAATAGATCCTGGCTCTATAAATTTTAGTTTATCTGTTTTTTGGTTTTTTGGTTTCTTTGTTTTTTGTTTTTGATAACCTATGTGCTAGGTAAAATTCTACTTTCCGTCTAGGTACAACGCGCTTTTTATGATTGTCTGTAAATTTTTGAATATATAAAATGTATTGAATTATTTTTTGAAAAAATTCTGTTTTTGAAAGAAGCTTGAATAGAGTTTATTTCCTCTCATAAACATAAGAGCTTTCATGCATTTTGTGGCACTTTTTGGGATAGATTATGATCAAAAAATATATATATATTTTTTGGAGGCTGGCCAGTATAGAGATGGAGCCCTGGACCTTGGTATTATCAACACGATGCTCTAACCAACTAAGCTAACAAGTCAGCCCCCAAAGTATCTATTATTTAAAGGAGACTTAGAATTGTATTAAAATTTTCTTGCCTGTTAATTATTTACTTTTTTAAGTGATTGAGAGATTAAGTTTCTGTTCAAAACAAAACTGCCGTACTCCAACTTAAGACATAATTATTGAGGGGCCGGCCCAGTGGTGCACTGCTACAGTGCGCCGCTTGGGAAGCGCGGCAGCGCTCCC